GGGTGTGGGGGGGGGGGGGGGGGGGGGGGGGGGGGGGGGGTCAATTGGGGAAAAGGGAGACATATGGAATACTTTAAACAATAAAAATAAAAAAATAAAAACAGTTCTCCAGGATAAGGGCTCTGAGAACCCACCCCTATCTGGTGATGAGGATGAAAAAAAAAGATATGTATATTTTGTGAAGCCTAATTTTTCATTCATTTTGTATAGTTGACATAGTTTATTTTACATCTTATATTAGTTATCTATTGCTGCATGACAGATTACCCCAAAAGTTAGCAACTGCAAACAACAAATGTTTATTCTCCCGCGTGGCTCCTGAGAGTCAGGAACCTGGGCAGCTTGGCTGGGTGGCGGCTCGGGTCTCTCAGGAGCGTGCGGGCTGGACACTGGCGGGCTGCAGGCGGCGACGAGGCCGAGGCTCACTCTGAGGTGGCTCACTCACATGGCTGGGCTGGAGGTCTTAGTTCCGCTCCCTGGGGACCTGCCACAGGGCTGCTCAGGACAGGGGGCTGGGCGCCCCCAGAGCACGTGATCCAGGAGAGGGAGAGGGAGGTAGAAGCCACGCCTCCACGCCCAGGGCCTCTCTGACCTGGCCTCACACAGACCAACCTGATATAATGAGGGAGAGGCCCATCCGGCTGCGTGAGACCGGCATGACTGGGGATTCTTGGAGCCTGGCAGCCACTGCTTAGTATTTTTTAGGTTTATTGTGATGTTACATGCACTGAACATACAACTGTAAACTGAAGTCGTGTATTTTCATAGCCAGTTTGGGCTTCCTTTCACCCTTGCCTTCATCCCAGCTTTTTCAAAGGACAACTTGTTGTTTTTAATAACCTGCCGGGGTTCATGTCCCAGCATCAAGAAGGGTTCAGGAATCTGGAAAAGGCTGTGCGCAGATGACATAGAAATCCAGAGACTAATAAAGAGTCCGGAGACGAGTTATAATTTTGAAAGGCATTGGGGGTCAGAGGACCTTCAGCTAAAGGAACTGAAGGAACAAGACTTCCTCCTTGTCTAGGACCCTTGCTTTTATTAACACAATTTGTCCTAAGGCAAGGTGGAGATAATACACCTCAAAGGGTACGGTTTCAAAGGGTACAGAAGCATTGTCAGTTAGGGGAATAGCCTACCGCTGTTCAGGTGTTTGGCCAGTAGGAGGCAATAACATGTAGATTAAGATGCCCTTTAACTGGCAGCCACAATCAGTTTCCTATTCAGGTTTGGGGAAATGCCTTTAGCCGTTCCCAACAGGTGACTACATGTGTGACTCAACCCTGTTGAGTCCCCAAGTTTCATCAACCTTTTGATGAAACTCTTAAAATAATGACATGCTGGAATTGGTTCCCGGCAATAACCCTTTTAAGTATAAACACTGTATATATCCTACATGATCCTCAGCTCCAACATCCACGTCAGGGTTGTTTTGACAGGACCCGTGTCATTAATCTCCTGTATTAGCTTCCAGTCTAGTATGACACACAGCGCTTGCTTTTTTTATGTCCATTAGCGCTCGTACTTCACCACATTTAAGAAGCACCGGAAAAGAGAACACAGAAAGGGTCTTGCTGCCACCACCCTGTCACAACCATTGTTTTTATTTTAGAGCAGTTCTTTCTAGACATTGTTTTTTCAAATGCTCACTTGTGGTTATTGAGATGTGCGTGTTGCCACCCAGCCTTTTAGACTGTTTTATCCTTGAAAGGATAATATATGTTGGATTTTTTTGTCACTCATGTACACTCTGATTCGAGAGGGAGGCAGGGGCGGAGGGCTGACAGGCTCCATCCACCCGTGTCTGCTGCAGAGAGAGTGGCTGGGATGTGGCAAGGAGCTGGAGACAGCAGGAAGGCTCTGGAACAGATCTGGAGTGACTCGGAGCTGCCCTTCTCCGTTAAAAGGCAGGAGATGAGTCAGCCTGACCGTGTGGGTCAGGGCTGGGGTGGAAGTATTATCTCAGCAGGCCCACAGGCCCTGTTGTATAAGCTGTGCTCACGGAGGGACCACATTTCATCTTATCAGACTGATTTTAGCCTCGTGGGTGCCTTTTTCTCTCCAGAGCGCACAGCGGGTGGGCAGTGAGCACAGGCAGGCCGGCAGTGTGGTGGAGGAAGCCACCGAGTGAATGCTGTGGGGGGGCGGGGGGGGCTGCACTGAGTCATACCCCAGCCCAGCAAGCAGGGGCTCCAGGCCCGAGCTCCAGCTCTGTCCTCTGCACTGTTACCTAACCCTCCCCACACATCGTGCTTGGAGTGCCGCCAGAGAAGTTAGACCAGGAGACCAGTGTGCTTAGGGATCTCGAAAGGCCCAACACTGTCGACTTTTACCTCGTTTCGGGCCCCTCAGCCACACTCAGCATGAGCATGGAAGTCGTGCAAGGCGAGCAGCGGTGTCGCTTTAGATGATCGGACCCTGCTTGTGCCCCTAAGTGGCATTACCGCCCCTCCCATCGTCTCATTCGCCAGATTTGGCTCAAAATGGCTTGAGTGATTAAAAACATCAAGCCTACTATGGAGACTGCAGATTCACCATCTCCGAGGATGCCCGGGGGACCCAGGCACTGAAGGAAGTCAGCTCAGCCACCCTCTGCCACTGCCGCCCAGAGCCACCATGCCTCGTGTGCTCAGGTAACTGTGTTGTAGGGACCAGAGCCCCTGGACTTCTCTCTGGGGGTTTGTATGACAAACAGATGGCATCGTGGTCACTCCCCACACGCCCATGTTGTGTGGGCTGCAGCATGGTTACAGAGGAGGCGGACTTGTTGACAACTACTGAACAGTTTTCTCTTTTCCCTCCAGGACGGGAAGGTGATCGTGTGGGATTCCTTCACGACTAACAAGGTAAGGTGTCCCCGGTGCACTGGGGCGCCCCCGAGCCCCAGCCTCATTTAAAGGTGCTCTGGTCCAGCTCCCCAGCCCTGGCCCCGTTTCCTGCCTCTCAGGGAGCCTGTCTGGGGATGAAAACCCCACAAAGCCCATCTGCGTTAAGACAGCTCAGCAGCCCACGGTAGCGTTTATTCCTCCCTCGAGCTGACACCCCTTGCCCACAGAGGAGCCTGCAGAGCCCCACAGACTGAGCTCATGCTGGAACAGGAAGGGGCGAGGCCTGACACCCTGGTCCCATGCACACAGGCAGCTGTATGTATTCTTCCTCTGAGTGACAATAAGAGGTACCCAGCTTCCTCTCCCCTCTGTCTTTGGCCAGACTCCATGGCACTGTGGACATGAGCAAACGGTGGGTGAAGCCCTGGCTGCAGTGGAGTCACGTGCTCTGTCCAGGACGCAGTGGAGTCTGAGCCCCCTGCAGCTCTGGCCTGAGCATGCACAGCTGCAAAGTAGACCTAAATTCAGACTCTTTCCTAAAGAGAAAGACTGAAACCTCTGTAGGTGTGCTTGCATGCCTGCATCGCAGTGGCATTTACAATAACGAGTATGGTGTATTGAGTATGGACTCCAACATTTACTTAGAAGAAAACCTTCCTTTTCACGATATTAAAAAGGACACGTATTGTGACAAATTTGAGCGATGCCCATATTCTGCATTATTGAATGTGGTTAGTAAATGCCATGTAGGCAGCTGTTACCTGACCAGATTGAATGAGGCCCCAGAACCGCCTGTAGAGCAATCCCTAGTGTTTAGGCCCCTGGGGAACAATAAACAGTTTGCAAAGGGCAGTGTACATCCCCTACCTCCATGGAGGACTGCCTCTCCCAGCATGCCCAAGCAGTGCGTGCATGGGGTTGTGTTGCTTCTGTTTATGCCTTAGCATGGCATAGAGCACACACTGCCTGGTTTCTGGGAGCTGTAGGGTCACCACTTGTGGCCTCTGGCAGGGAACCTAGCCATCACTTGTGGGGAAAAGGGTCTGGGATGCCCTGTGCTGAGAGTGCAGCCACCTCGCCTCACTCACTGGCGGGCAGTAGGTGGTTCCCAGCCTCAGAGGCTGCTGGACTGTGAGTGACACCAGAATTTTGACAGGCGGTTTCGGGCCTATATTTCCCCATAAAAACACAGAGAATCTAGCGGAAAGGCCAGCGCTGGTGTGTCCTACACAAACTTAGTCCCATTCCCTCCCTTCACAGACAAGGATGAGGCTGAGTTAGTACCAAGGCCTATATTTCCCCATAAAAACACAGAGAATCTAGCGGAAAGGCCAGCGCTGGTGTGTCCTGCACAAACTACTTAGTCCCCCCTCCCTTCACAGACAAGGATGAGGCTGAGTTAGTACCAATGGCCGGTTGCACATCTTGTTGCTGTTGGAACCACGTTGTTGAATCGTGGCTTTGTTGTTTGCTCATCTGCACACAGGAGGATGTGGGTGACTCGACCACTATCCAGGAGCCGGGCACTGTTAGGCCTCGCACTCCATTCTTCCACTGTACAGGTTCTCTCACCTCTGAGCACAACTCAAGATCAGCCTCCCACCCCCATTCATCCCTCCCAGGAATGGTTTAGGACTCAGAGGGGACAGAGGCTCTTGTGTACTCCCAAGTAAACAAACTCATAATATACACATAAAAAGTTATTCAAGATTATATTATGAAAATGGAAATCAGATTAAATAAGGTGAAGTATATATTGGAAATGAAATTCAGATGGACCTTTAAAAGAAAAGGAGCCCAGTATTCATTCATTCAGAAGAACAAGTGGGGTATAACATTAAGTAAAAAGTAAAACCTTAAGGATTTTTTTTTTTTTTTGCTAGTCGGGATTTTAACTTTTAGAATATATGACATAACAGCCTGATCAGCATGGTCAGTGGTTGAACATCAATCTATGAACCAGGAGGTCACGGTTCAATTCCCAGTCAGGGTACATGCCTGGGTTGCGGGCTCGATCCCCAGTGGGGGACATGCAGGAGGCAGCTGATCAATGATTCTCTCTCATCATTGATGTTTCTATCCTTCTCTCCCTCTCCCTTCCTCTCTGAAATCAATAAAAATACATATTTAAAAAATAGAATATATGACGTAATGTTTGATTGATTATATGGGGCTGAGTCTCCTTATCAGTCATAAGCTAATTGTTACCCCACTCCACTGCCCTTGGAAACTATAACATAATTCAGTAAGATCGCCAGTGACTTTTTAAAAATTAAATGTTGAGATGTGTGTGTGTGTGTTTGTGTGTGTGTGTGTGTGTGTGTGCGTGTGTGTATGAAGCCACACTTGTTTATTCTATGAACGGTTCACACTGTGTTTCAGGAGCATGCGGTCACCATGCCCTGCACATGGGTGATGGCGTGTGCGTACGCCCCATCGGGCTGTGCCATTGCATGTGGGTAAGTAGGGCCCACAGCAGCTTTTCAGCTGTCCTGTGAGCCATAGAACACTGTTGTATGGACAGAAATACACAAACAAGAACTTGTAATTTTTATTGTTTGCTTGTTAAGCAATGTGTTAAATTGCTCCCTGAACTTTACAAAAAAAAAAAAGCACAAAAATCTCTTTCATAATTATTTTCATTACAGAGTGACAGTGGTATAAGTTTTAGACCTATGCTCCTCACTCAGATGCAAACATCTTGGAATGCATGTTGGTAACGTGTACCAGAAACCTGGAAAAATGTAGAACCTTTGATCTAGTGATTTTATATCTAAGAACTTATTTGAAAGCAATGACTCAAAATATAGAAAAGAACATATGAATAATAACATTTATTGTAGAATTATGTAAAATAAAGCCAAAGACAAAAAAGAGAAACAATATGTCCATCAAAGGCAATCTACACTAATAAGAGAGAAACATGGTAATTAGCGTACAACCGCTACCCTTTTCATTGGCTAATCAGTGAGTATATGCAAATTAACTGTCAGCCAAGATGGCGGCCGGCAGCCAGGCACTGAAGCGAGCATCCTGAAGATCAGTTTAACAGGGTTCAGCAACGAGAACTGCAGCCCTGTGGCTGTTCCCTGTCGTGTTAAACAGTTGTGGGCCATTTAAAATATTTCCACAGTAGAATCTCAGCCCTGTTTAGAAAAGAGGCATTAGTATAAAAAAAGTGGTGAACTAGGCCAGCGATTTTCATCTCATGACACACGTAAGCTAATTGCTAGAATTCTGCAGCACACCAAAAAAA